AGTGGAGTAATTATGCATTTCTGCTTTCCTGACCTGAACCATTTCCGGCCAAGATCGAAAGTTAACATCTTTTCCCAGCAGTACAGAGAGCGGTTGGGACTTGGGTTTGGGTGACCACCTAACAACTTCAGGGTGCCACTCGCTCTTCTTTTGACCAGTGAAAAGCTTTGCTTTAATTATGAACCTTGTTTCCGGACTTAATTGCTCATCGTTTTTCTAATGCTATAATTACTGCTATGTTCTTACTTCTATATTCTGAGATATAGTTCTTCTGCCCAGCAACCCGAAATTCGTCGCCTTCGGCCACCTAAGCATGAAGCCAGTGGTCTGTGACTGAATGCCCTTGAAATCGGTAGAGTTTTATAAAATATATGCCAAATAAAGGTTATTATTATTATTATTATTATTTTGCCTTTATTTTAAATTTCACAGTGGCGCGTTTCTTAGAAAATTATTTGAAATTTGCTCTTTTGAAAAGTGGGCAATAAAATGCCTCATGCGAAGGAACTGTAGTGTGCAACAAATTTTTAAAGACACTCTTATAATGTAGCACTTCCGTGACACTCTTTTAAAGTAGACGCTCTTTTGAAGGCAACAAAAATACTAGAAATCTCTGGAAGAATCTTAAAATACACTGTAATAAATTTCATCCATTATAAAATTGAATTCATAAGAGGTGTTCAGATTGTACAACACTTCCTCGAGGTGACTGCATGAACACCTCGTAAACCATAACTTCAAAGAAATCATAGCTATGTGAGGCTAATAGTAAATATAATGTTGAAAGCTCTAAAATTAAGTGTTGTAATAATTAAACTACACTAAATTAGTGAATAGAAAGCCATTTTCTGCAATAATTTTTTGTCGCGTCATCAAATATTGCAAGGCAGCTCCTGATTTATTCGATAAGAGGACTATGAATATCAGCAACAAGGGTCAAGGAAATTTACTAAATATTTCAATTCATGCTACATCATGAATTGGTAGCTCTACTCTTCGCATCAGCGCCCAGCTTATAAATGATAACTAATCTAATGACAGTGTTGGCAATTGTAAAGTTTTCCTACGATTTTTCAAGTGATAATGTCAAAGAAAGAATTATTCATGTTTTGAGCAGATTTCGTTTAATTATGCATCAAGTCTTTTTTGATTGTATCTAATACTGCCAGAAATATGTTAAAAGCAGGTGAAGAATTATTTATGAAACAGCGAGGATTTCTAGTAAATTAATTTAAAATAACGTGTTTGATTTTTCCCCCAATCAATCGCATCATTTTCCGTCAAAATTACGTAACTTCGGGATTATAGGTGTGAAATTTCGTTTGCGTGAAAGCCTCAAATAGATATTTGACTGTGTTATTATTAATTTCTTAAAAGCTGAAAGCCTTAGCCTAATTTTAGATTAAAGAGGTTTAAATTTTGCATTAAAGATTTAAAAATGATTTTATATTTTATATTAGAGATCCAAAGAATAATTTATTAAAGTTCCAAAGAAAAATCTACTAACTGAAAATATTGATAATATTTAAATGTAAGAAGTTGGAAATGGGAATCACATTTGTCTTGACATATATCAACAAATTTATCTTTTTATTGCACGTTATTTTTCTGCATTATTGTTTTAATTACTTTTCAGATTTAAAAAAAGCAGTGTTGTTGTTGTTGTTGTGACTGATCTCATTTGTCTGACCTTATCAGAACAAGCTGGCGACTTTTATCGTGGCAAGGACTAGAGGATTACGGCTGACATTCGCAAGAGACTTGGGCACCATACAGGGGCCAGTGCGATTTTGTCCAGTTCCACCCCGGTTTTGAAAGAAAGCATCTCATGGATGGGTCTGAGGGTCTCAAAACCCTCTTTCCCTATCTCAAACCACACGAAAGAACATTCGGCTGGCCATATATTTACAGTGTCCCCATGCCGCAAAGACACTATACATTTACAAATATCCATGCCTTCTCTGGGATTAAAACACGGGTCCTGGGTACGGTAGTCAGAATCCCTAACAACTATCCCGTTTGGGCGCCATAAAAGGCAGTAAAATTGTTGGTAAACAGAAAATGCATATCTATATTTAATATATTTAAATATTAGAATAGGTAAAATGTAATTAGAAAAGCTTCAAAAATCTAAGAAACTTTGTAATCATGGATATAAACTAAAATTAAAATTTTCAAATGAAGAAACTAGATTGAATTTGAAATCGATGTTTTTTCTCTTTCCTATGCTTGACAAAAATATCAGTCACGCTAATATTCGTGAATTTAACCGTAGCTTCCTCTTCCTTTTAGCTTTCGCATCAATTAAAGCTATTCGTGAAACTGAATTTAATATCACAGCTCTTATGGAAAGTTCCCTATTTATACAGATTAAAAGAATTATTCAATTTTGCAAACTTTAACTATTTTGACATAATTCATTCGAAATGAAATTAACGAAACGTACTAAAAGCTCCTTAACTCTGAATAAACTTTAGACAAAAGGCGATTAAACTTAGTAAACACGCAAAATCTCTTTTAAGGAAAGAAATTTTTTGTTTTGAAATTTTACTTATTTATTCAAAACTGAAATCAATGAAGGGTTATATTTGAGTCTTCTTCCACATATTTTTTACTACATCAGATTTCAAAATTAAGAAAACGCCCGTTATAAATAAAAATAGGAAAATACAAAGAACGCGTTTAAAATTCGTTCTAAGTTTTAATAAGTATTAAATATAGGAAATTTTAACGCAATATAGACAAAGTGTCCGTAATGTAGCAGTGCGTCATTGGTACTGAATAGCAAATTCATTGAAAGTGGGGGAACATACATATTTCTCACAGTACATGAGAATACATAATATTTTAAAAAGATAGTACTGCGAATTAGCATATTAAATCGTTACATAGAATTCATGGTATTCAGTAAAACTTTTGTTATTTTGATTCTATTCAGTTGTATTTGAGCTTTAAATAAAACAAAAGAGTTAGTGAATTTCAGATCTATAATCAGAAGCACCACTATTAATGCAGTTTATGCATGCCAAGAACTGTAAACTCATCTTTTAGAAATTTCCACTAAGAGAAATCTGGAAGGATTTGGATTGTCATATCAAACACAGGAGATGCCAATCTGCCCAAACTCTGTTTCACTCTTCATTGTGAGTACACTGATGCATAGAATAAGATATTTTACCCTTTCTACTCTACCACGAATTATTCGATAGAACTCATATCAACGGATTCCAAATGCTTTCATATCGCAAGAATGCTTCAGTTACAAATATCCGTATTTTATTCCTTGAGTGGAACGCGAGCCTTTGTAAGCGGCATTAATTCTTCGCTCTAGCATACTAACCGCTGTGGTATAAATTACGAGGTTCGAAATTAAGCGAACTTGTTATTTTTTAAAGCTTATACTTAATTAATTTCATTCATATTTTAAATTATAATTTATGATTCACTGATTTTTGTATATTTTGTTTTACTTCGCATGCATCTCACTTCGCATGCATCTCTAGCTAGACATATAATTCTGACTATTTTAAAACACTGCAAGTACCGTATTTGCCGGCGTATAAGACGCACTTTTTTTTCTTTGAAAATAGGTCTGAAAAACTGGGTGCGTCTTATACACCCATACTGCGTCTTATATATCGATATTTATTGCGTCGATACGTTGTTTGTTAATGGGCCAAAGCTTCATGGGATGCTGTGAAAACAGAAACAGTGGTCAAATACTAATTTAAGAAGTGGGGCTTTAGTTATGCTATGAAGAAGTGAGGAGGCCACCTAATATTTACCCTAAGTAAGCATGTATTAGCCCCACACACTAACTAGAAAACTAAAAACATTCTGGCATCGTCCTCGAGTCGTGATAGAAATTGTGACTCCAGTGAGTATTACAAGTACTGTCACTGGCGGCGGCATCAACGGTACTCCTAACCTTTCAGCGTTAAATTAGCTCAAGTAAGGGATTAAATTACATGATATACATTGCGATATAGATAGCTGTGCAGGTGCATAGTTCAAGATGTTATCTATTGTAGTGGGTAGAGGCAACATATTTCAGGACATTATATATTGCATTACAAACAGGCATGTTGTTTCCACGTTACAAATCATTTTTGTAAACATGATCTGTTTACTATCAGAATTAATTAAAAACTATAAAATTGTTTACAAAGCTTACATATAAGTACTGTTGTAAAGTAGTGCTGAAACTTTAACAGCTCAATTTTAACGATTCATTATTTGTTTTAACGTACGTTTTTATGTTAACTGATTTTCAGAAATTATATTATTGTCTAGTAGTACATGTTATCTGCATGTAAAAATTGATCATGACATTATAAATTGTGGTGGCTAGAAGCAATTTATTTCTAGTGTATAAGATCATGCCTACAATCATGACTTGTTTAATTTTTTTTTCAAACAGCTGTCAAAATTTGAGAAGAATATAAAATAATAAAAAAGACATAAATAAATTTGAAAACAAAAGAAAAAAAGAGCTTCATCTGCATACTTATGCATACTACGTACTTTTAGATATATCTGCATACATATGCTGATACATTTCCAACTTATATTTTTCAGTGCTTTGTATGCAAGTACATATGTTTTTACAATAATTAATTTACATGAGTTACATTCTATGATACATTACATTGTTGATACTTTACCAACTCAATGCTGGCTATTTATCATATGTATTCACTTATCAGGTAATTGGTGATCTTATGTTACATAGAAATGTAGGGGTCATCTATTACCATTTACCTGAAGTAAACAGATAGGAGCCCCTTACCCTACTTGTGAGTGACCTATTTTGTGCTTCGTATGGTTTTGCGATGCTTATTTCTTCCTATAAAGGTACGCCCGCATGCATTATATCTGCATTTTATTGCTTTATTTTGCTATGGCTGAAGCACTTCTTTGAAGGTTAAATTACACTACATAGCTCTTGACTTCTAGCTGCCAAAAAGTCAATAACCTTCGTGATTTTATTCCTCAAATGCTTATTCTTGACTGCATATCTTAGAAATGGGAATAAATCCTCTTCTGAATTGGGTTTCTTTAGCTGAAGGGAATCTGTCAACGGGCAGGAAAATAGAGATAATGCTCGGGGTGACCCTTTTCACCACATGCACAGGAGTCTGATGAAGAGAGATTTCTTGCATAGAGGTACGTGGGAAAGGGACCATGCCCGTGATAAACCACGTGATATGTCTGGAGAGAGGGATTGGAGGAGAGTCAACTTTGGGGAAGAGGTTGTAAAATCTTCTGCCTGTATTTGCACCGTCCCACCATTGTTGCCATAAGTCTTTAGTTGTGATCTGAAGTTTTAGTTTGAGATGAGAAGCTGGCCAGGGGATGCTTATTTTCTTGGCAATGATTCCTTGTGCGGCTTCCTTGGCTAATTTGTCAGCCTCTTCGTTTCCCTTATGACCAACATGGGCCTTGATCCAGATTATAAAGAAGTGTTGGCCTTGGGCATTGGAGGACTTTCTAAGAATTTCATGAGCTAATGATGATCTATTATTTGGGTTCGCGAGCGCATGCATTGCCGAGAGACAATCTGTATAGATGTGAGTCCTTGGAAAATGATGATGTGTGCTTACGTTGATTGCCTGCAAAATCGCGAACATTTCCGACTGAAAAACGCTATTCTCTTTGTCAAGTTGGAACTTGAAGCCTTTTGCTTCATGGTCACTGAGATATATTTTTATAGCACATCCTTTTCCGTTGTTTATGCCAGAACCATCTGTGTAGATCTTTGGATATAATGCTTGGTATCTATTCTGCCTTATGCATAGTGTTATATTATTTCGGCTAGCTGGATGTCTTTCATATGGATGAGTCGATGAGGTGTAGGAGCTGGCAGCTACTATCTCATTTTTAATTTTGCAGTCTTTTCTTAGCTGAAGAACTGAAGCCTTTGCATGTTCCTGCTCCGCAACTAAGAATAGGGTAATGCTGTTGGTGAGCTGAAACAGTGCAGCATTTGAGGTTGTTCTGTAAGCATGGGAATAATTTAAAAGAAAGGGCCTTTGGATGGATTGAAGTTGCTTTTGTTTTCTCACCGTCATTGGTGATGCCCATATCGCTGCACCATACAGTGTTATCTTTTCTATAACAGTGTTTTTACAACAGCTTTTGTATCTGGGGGTTTAAGCCCCATCCGACACCTTGCATTCTTTTCAGGTTGTTAGCTATACTGGAGGTTTTCTTCTTAATTTGCTGTAGGTGCTCAATGAAGTTAAGTTTGTTATCTATTGTAATTCCAAGATATCTTAACGATTTGACTATTTTGATTTTGTTGTTGTAAATGTGGAATTTCGGTAATCTGGTTATTTTTTGAGAAGACTTATGAAACATCATGGCTTGAGAATTTTCCTGTGATATTGTTAGTTTTTGGTGCTTGCAAAGTTCGTTGAATTTTTCCAGAGTGGTATTAACATTGGCTTCCAGTACTTGTCTAGAACTTCCACTGATTACAAAAGCTGCATCATCAGCAAATGCAATGCACTTTGTGTGGTCTGGCCATTGATGTTGTACTATTTTGTTAAATGCTAAATTTCAGAAATCAGCGCTAAGACAAGAGCCTTGTGGACAGCCTCTTTTTTGGTTTCTCTCGATGTTTCTGCTGTTGGTTATTATTATGCTCTTTCTATTGGAGAAATAGTTCTGGAATACTTTATTTATTAGGTTTTCTGGAATACTTTATTTATTAGGTTATTAGGTTCTTCGGGCATTTGATTTCTTTAAGTGTGCCTAATACCTCAGGCCACCAGAGTGAGTCGAAAGCCTTTCTGAGGTCTACGCATAGTAGAGCAGAATGCATATTTTGGGCTTTGTTGTTAGAAATTTGGATTATAGCTTCGTTGATTGCATGTATTGTGCTTCTGTTGGGTGTGAATCCAAACTGCAAGTTACTGATGTTATTTGATTTTCTTAAATGGTGTCTGAGGCGAAAGGGCTCTTTCAAAAACTTTTTCCCAGCGCTGGGAGAAGGCTTATTGGCCTATATTAGCTCGGATTGGACGCATCTTGACCTTTCTTGTTGAACAGAATTATCTGTCCTATCTTGAAGCAGGAGGGAAAAATACCATATTGTAGGCATTTGTTTATTAGTACCGGGATAAGAGAAGGGAAGTGTTTGTTTATTATTTTTATTATTACGTTATCCATCCCGTCTGGACCTGGAGCTTTTCCCTTTGGTAGATTTTTAATAATATTATTAATTTCGAATTCTGTGAAGTATGCGTCATCTTGTGCGCAAGGAGGTTGGGTATTTTCTCTTCTCGATCTTTGAGCTGTTGTATCACCTTCTGCATCGTCGTTTAGGAATACGGCTTCCATAATTTTTTCTATTGCAGTTGTAGTAGCACCCTCAGACCCTGAGGGTATGTAAAACTGAATGGGGGATTATTATTTGTGAAGGTTTGAAAACTTTGTTTGCGCAGATTTTGTATATCGGACCATAGGAGCCTTTGCTGTTTGATATGTATTTTTTCCAGCAGTTTATTTTTGCTTATCGAATTTCTTTTTTATAGAAAGCTCTCTGTTTGGCGAAAATTATGTACGCTGCAGTTATATCTGCTTCTGTTTTTGCTTGTTTCATTCTTCTCTTTAAAGCTTTGATTTTATTGCGTTCAGAGCGAAGGGAGGTTGTCCACCAGTTAACTTTCTTAATATTACTAGGATTTTTAATGTCAAAGGATTTTTCACAGTGGGCTTGAATTGATTTGGTCAGTTTCGTAGTTAAGTCATCTAACTGAACTTCATTAGTGGAATTTTTGAGTTCATTTATTATTAAAGGAACTTCTGTGGAGATTGAATTTACAAATCTTTTGATCCTGTTATTTGTGGTTTTGAAGCGCTTTGTTGTTATTGCTACAGTCTTTGCGACAAATGTATAAGATATTAATTTGTGGTCTGAAATTACTTCGTCCTGTATGACCGTCCAGTTCATGATCCGGTGGGCCAGAGCATTATTTGCAAGCTTTATGTCGGACCACCCTTTTCCCGAACTTGTTTCGAATTTCGGTGGGGCAGAATCTTCATTTATTAATGCTAGATTGTAACTATTAATAAAATCTTCAACTTCTATTCCTCTTTGGTCAGTACGAGAGGAACCCCATATTTGGTTATGGGCATTAAAATCTCCTCCAATGATGTGGAGAGAACCGGGGAATCTATTGATGATGTTACCTAGTTGGTTGAGATTTGTAGATAGTCCTCTGCTGGAGAATTATAGAATATAGGAGGTGATGAGCAGTTCTTCCTTTGAAGTGTTTAAGGCTATTGTAACTAAATCTTTAGAGGTAAATATTGTTGATGGGGACCAATTCTTTTTGTAGCATATGATAGCTGCTCTTAATTAATTTTCTTTTTCGTCTTGGTGTTGGATTAAATGCCAGCTTGACGGAATAGCTCCAACTTTACCTCTTACGCAATAAGGCTCTTGAACGAGCACTATATCATAATGGTGTTCTGCCAAGAAAAGTTCGAGTTTTGCAGATGATGCTTGGGCTCTTTGCAAATTTATTTGGAGAATCTTGATTTTAGGTGCACTGTTTCTCTTTGTTAGTGTGGTTGAAGGGAGAGGAGTCATTGTTTGCTGACTCGCTACTTTTTGCTTCCTTAGTTTGATGTACCATAGTCCGTTCTTTCCTTGATCTTTTGTATTTCACGAAGGTACATCAGGCAGATCGACGCGAATGCAGCATGATTTATATTGAAATCGCTGTCATTCACATTATTGAAAAGTTTGCAGTTAATGCAAGTTGGTATCTCTACTCTGCAATTCTTAATATCATGCTGTCCCCCACAGAAGGCACAGTACTGTCTGTGTGGGCAGTCTCGTGAGAGTGGTTAAAGTCTTGACATATAAAGCACCTTCTAATGCCAAAATATTCAGTGATTCGGTGCTCTCTCCAACCACTGAAGATTTCTTTCCTTTCCATCATTAACTTGAATGTTAATAGGAGCATTCAATGATCCATTTTATCGCATTGTTCCGTTTATCGTTTAATTTGAATATTCCTTTAAAGTCATAGTTTGTTATGGGAAAGTTTGCTGTTATAATATTATGCATTTCCTCTGCGGTTGTCCCGTGAGGGATGTTACTAAATTCACACTTTGGTGTTCTTCTCTGAGGAATTTTCGCATTAAATTTCTCGTGGATGTCTTGAATTTTGTCTAGGGACTCATAAAGTTTCTTTACTTCTTCCTCGTTTTTGCAGGAAACTGCTATGCCTCCCCGTTGAATTTTGGTGATTGCTTAAATCTTAATACCAAGATTCGAAATTGGGGATATCTTCTCTAACTCTTCTTGAATGTTTACATTGGAGCTGTTGTTTTTTGGTGTAATTAGAAGTGCTGATCCTCTATGACGTTTGTAGCCAATGTTCCTCGTGTGCAATTTGGGCATACGTAGGCGATTGCTCTGTATGGGCAACGTTGGCTTGCATTTCTTGCTGGGAATCAGTGTGGTTGCAGCCAGCCTCTTTTGTCTTTTTTGGGTTACTATGTCCGCAGCAGTGAAATTTCTGATAATCGTCTTTTTGGAAATTATTGGGCCTTGGCTGGTAGTCCGTCGGAACTCCTAAATGCCAAGTTCTTCATTACTACTATCTGCGCATAAATTTCCTCAAAAAGATCTTTTGGAAAAAGGGGCTTGTTTTTCTTCTTTGTGTTTAGGAGACCTACGCACTTTTCAAATATGGAACTGACAAACTCTTCTTTGCCTTCTTTTGAAGAGCAGTCAACGTTGCTATCAATGTAATGAGTGAAGGGGCGGAGTGCAAATTATTTGTCGATGTTGATTCAGCTTTACTGTTAGGTACATCTTTCTGGGGATGTTTCAAGAACGTCAGCTAGGTATACAGATTTTGCTCTGGTACAACTCATATTTGGTCGTAGTTATGTTCTCTTTAGAAATGAACAGAATAATACAATCAAAAGTGCTATTTTGAGATTGAAAGTGATAAGTTGGACTGGAAAATGGTCACAACAATAATATTAGCACTGAAATCTGGTGCACATTGAGTACGCTGATTACACAATCTGATACTTCAACTGAGTGTCTGGATACGCTGAGTGTCTGTTTTTGATGTGCGATCGTCTGCAGTGGTGAATTAAATAGCCTATCGTTGTTCTATAAGAATCAGACACAATCATAAAGATTTAACTTAAAGTAAAAAGTCTAGAATTGAAGCCGAAGAATTACATATGAAGAAATCTTTAATATATTAACTGTAGTTTGTTGGAGGAATCCTGATACTTGGTTAGGCTGACGCTATGACTTGAATAAGAGGAGATCTAAATATGGTTGAATGCTGCTGATTGAGTCACAGAGGAAAACACGAGTAACGAAGGAAACTGTGACAAATAGGATTGCTGCGTATAAGTTAGCTGACTAAGTAAATGTTGGCTTGTTACATAAGTAATCCTTGGTATAACGCTAGATTTTAAGCACAGTCATTTAAGGTCTGCGTTCAAATTTTATGGTCAATAATCTGCAATTTCACTTAGGAAGTTGTAATGAAACTAGTCAATAGCACAATGATTGTAATTACTTTGATGATCAAATTAGTCTGATGAAATATATACTAAGAATGTTTAAATAATGCAGACATTAAGATTATAATATACGATAAGCATAATATTTGAGAATTATAATGATTAAATTATGCAGAATATTTAAATAGGCGAGATAATGCTAATACTAAATCGAACATAAAATAGTTATAATATTAAGCAAATTGACAAAATAATATGACAGGTTGTAATTAGGTAATGAAATTCAGGAATTAAAATGTAAGATTAATCATTATATCATTAATACATTGAAACATTAATACATTATATCATTAATACATTGTAACATTAATACATTGTGCAAAGTGAGGAGATCAATTTAAGAACAATGAATTCAAAGCACAATATTGGGATGTGATGTAAGCTATCAGTACAAATTACAAGTCCAAAATGTAAATAAAGCCACGTGGATAAGCTTTGGCCAAAGTCCAGAGGGGGTGCTGTGTAAGTTAGCGCATGCGTATTGGAACCTTGACCTTGTGGA